TAAAGGACAAAATGATGAACTTCACAGCAACTTGAATGGACTTAGAGTCTATAATACTGAGTGATCTATCACAGGAACAAAGAACTGAGTACTGTTCTCTGCTCATTAGCAGACCCTGAACAATTATCATAATACAATAAGAAAAGGATTGGTGGTGGGGAACTACTAAGGGAGGGAAGGGAGGCACACCTCTTCAATAAGGGTACCTGATCTCAAACTAGGTGAAGTGGGGACAAAAGTGAGGCCCAAACTTTACCTTCACAATCACCATTTGAATACCTAGCCCAGAATTGTACACCACATTTTTAAAATAAAAATTGAAAAAGAGTTTGGTGGTTTCCCAGAAAGTTAAACACAGATTTACTATATAACCCCTCCATTCCAATCCTAAATATATACCCAAAATAATTGAAACAGGTACTCAAACAAGTACACATGTGTTCATAATGGTATTATTCACAATAGGTAAACATAGACACAGTCCAAATGTCCATCAATGAATAAATGGATAAACAAATTGTGGCATATACATAAAATGGAATCGTTTTCAGCTATAAAAAGGAATTAAGTAATGATGTAGTCTATAATGTGAATGAACTTCAAAAAATTATGTTGAGCAAAAGAAGTCAGACACAAAAGGACATATATTGTATGATTTAATTCATATAAAATATCCAGGATGGATAAATCCTTGAAGACAGAATACAGATTATCATTTGACAGGGACTAGGGGAAAGGAAAACAGGAAGAAACCACTTAATGGGTGAGAGCTTTTACTCTGGAGTGATGGAAATGTTTTCGGACTGGGTAGATGTGATGCTTGTACAACATTTGAAAGTGCTGTCCTGGTGCAGTGGCTCATGCCTGTAATCCCAGCACTTTGGGAGGTGGAGGTGAGAGGATTACCTGAGCTCAAGAGTTCGAGACCAGCCTGAGCAATATGGTGATACCGCATTTCTACAATAAATAAAAAAATTAGCCAGGTATGGTGGCACATGCCTGTGGTTCCAGCTAATTGGAAGGCTGAGACAGAAGGATCACCTGAGCCCAACAGGTGGAGGCTGTAGTGGTCATGAGTGTGCCACTGAATTCCAGCCTGGGAAACAGAGTAAGAATCTGACTCAAAAAAAAAAAAGTTAAATGTCACTGAATTGTTCACTTTAAAATAGTTAATATTATTTTTTCTTAATTTTTTAAAGTTAAAGAGTTATTCCATTCTTAAGTAAAATAATATAAAACAATACACAGATTGGCTGTGAATGTTCATAGCAGCTTTATTTGTAATAGCCAAAGACTGGAAGCATCCCAGATGTTCATCAACAGGTGAAAGGACTAACAAATTGTGGTACATCCATACAATGGAATAGTATTTGGGAAAAAAAGAAACAAACTATTGATGCACGCAACAACACAGTTGAATCTCAAGAGAATTATGTTGCATGAAAGAAGTCAGATAAAAAGTGTTCATATTTTATGACTGTATTTATATAAAATTCTAGAACATACAAACTAATTTATAAATATAAATTACAGCCAATATAGGCATACCTCATTTTGTTGCGCTTCTCTTTATTGTGTTTGCATATCTTCCAAATGTTTTTTTGTTTGTGTGTTCGTCTGTTTGCAAATTGAAGGTTTATGACAACTCTGCATAAAGGAAGTCTATTGGCATCATTTTTCCAACAACATGTGCTCTCTTTGTGTCTCTGTGTCATATTTTGGCAACTTTTGCAATATTTCAAACCTTTCGTTATTATTATCTGTTATGGTGATCTGTGATCATTGATCTTTGATGTAATTATTGTAAACATTTTGGAGTATCACAAGTAGTGCCATATAAGATGGCAAAATTAATGAATAAATGTTGTATGTGTTCTGACTGCTCTACCAACTGGCTGTTCCCCCATCTCTCTCCCTCTCCTTGAACCTCCCTGTTCCCTAAGACACAACAGTATTAAAGTTAGGCTAATTAATAAGCCTACAATGGCCTCTAAGTGTCAAGTGAAGAGTCATATCTCTCTCACTTAAAATCAAAAGCTAGAAATGATTCTTAGTTCTTAAAAAAAAGTGCTACTCTAGTGAACACACAAATAGTAAGAAAATGAAACAACATTATTGCTGATAGGGAGAAGATTTAAGTGGTCTGAACAGTAGATCCAACCTGCTACCACCACATTCTCTTAAACTAAAGCCTAATCCAGAGCAAGGCCCTAATTCTCTTCAATTCTCTGAAGGCTGAGAGATGTGAGGAAGCAAGCTGCAGAAGAAAAGTTTGAAGCTGGTTCATGAGGTTTAAGGAAAGAAGTCATCTCCATTACAGAAAAGTACAAGATGAAGCCATAAGTGCTAGTGTGGAAGCTGCAGCAAATTATCCAGAAGATCTAGCTAAAATAATTGACAGAGGTGACTACACTGAGCAACAGATTTTCAATGTAGATAAAACAACTTTCTACTGGAAGAAAATGCCTTCTAGGACTGTCCTAGCTGCAGAGGAGAAATCAATGACTGGCTTCAAAACGTCAAAGGACAGATTGACTCTCTTGTTAAGGGTTATAGGTTGAAGTCAGTGGTCACTGACCATTCCACAAGTCCTAAGGCCCTTAAGAATTATGCAAAATCTACTCTGTCTGTTCTCTATCAACAAAACAACAAAGTCTAGGTGACAGCATATCTGTTTACAATTTGGTTACTGAATATTTCAAGACCACTGTTGAGACCTAATACTCAGAAAATGAGATTCCTTGTAAAATAGTACTACTCAGTGACAACACATCTGGTCACCCAAGACTTCTGATGGAGATGTACAAGAAGATTAATGTTGTTTTCATACCTGCTAACACAACATCCATTCTGCAGCCCTTGGATCACAGAGTAATTTTGACTTTTAAGTCTTATTATTTAAGAAATACATTTGATAAGGCCCCAATTGCCTTAGAAAGTGATTCTCCTCATGGATTTGGGCAAAATTAATTGAAAACTTTCTGGGAAAGATTCATCATTCTAGATGCCATTAAGAACATTCATGATTCATGGGAGGAGGTCAAATGTCAATATTAACAGGAGTTTGGAAGTAGATTCCAACCCTCATGAATGACTTTGAAGGGTTCAGGATTTTAGCAGTGGAGGAAATAACTGCAGATATGTGGAAACAGCAAGGGAACTAGTATTAGAAGTGGAGCCTAGAGATGTGCTTAACGGCTGTAATCTCATACCAAAACTTAAATGGATTAGGAGTTTCTTCTTATAGCTATGGAACGAAAGTAGTTTCTTTAGATAGTATCTACTGCTGGTAAATATGCTGCGAACATTGTTGAAATGACAACAAAGTCTTTAGAATATTACACAAAGTTATTTGATAAAGCAGTAGCAGAGTTTGAAAGGATAAACTCCAATTTTGGAAGAAGTTTTACTTGAGTAAAATGCTATCAGACAGCTTCACATACTACAGAGAAATCTTTTGTGAAAGGAAGAGTCAATCAATGCACAAATTTCATTGCTGTCTTATTTTAAGAAATTGTCACAGCCACCCAACCTTCAGCAACCACCACCTTGGTCAGTCAGCAGCCATTGTTATCCAGGCCAGACTCTCTACTAGCAAAAAGATTATGACTCACTGTAGGCTCAGATGATTGTCAACATTTTTAGCAATAAAGTATTTTAATAACTTAATTTAGGTATGTAAATAGTTTTTTTAGACATCATGCTATTGTACACTCAATAGATTGTAGTGTAGTATAAAAACATAATTTTTACATAACCCGGGAATACAAAACATTCATGTGACTCACTTTATTGTGATAGTCACTTTATTGCAGTGAGGTAGAAATGAACTTGAAATGTCTCTGAGATATGCCTATATGGATCCCATTAAAAACTTATCAAATTGCACACTTTAGATATGTGCAGTTTATTGTATGCCAATTATAATAAGCTGTAATAAAGCTATTAAAATATGATGAATCTAAAATGCAAATTTGACCAGGCCATTTCCGTGTTCAAAATGCTACAAGGGTTGCTGTCAGGCACGATCAAGGTCTGGCTCAGTATGGCACCACCTTTCTGCAACCTCATCCTCTTTTCTCCCAGGTCTACAATCATACACTCTGGCACATTCTGTCTCTACACCACTTCATTACGTTTGTCCTTTCCATCTCTGCTGCTGAGACATGTTTTCTCGTCAAATGTCTTTTAAATCCCTACTCATCCTACAGGGTCTAGCTTGAATGCCTTCTCCACAAAACCTCCCTGAATTACCATAACTACTTATTTCACTTATATGCCTTTTCTTCTTCAGACTCTACAGCATTTTGTACTTATTTCATGATTCCTATCATTACCAGATTATATGTGCTGATCTAAACTTCCCGGTACAGCTACTTGCGTGTGTTTATCTTAATGTTCAGTGAGGTTATAAACTCCTTGAGGACAATGACACTTATTAAGTAATCTGTATATAGCCTGCAACATAAAGCACAGAGACTTACTAGTAATAGGTGCTTTGTAAATGTTTTTTAGTTGAATTGGATAATTTAACTTCTAAGTGACTTTATCATAAACTCAGTTCTTCTAATCACTCACCTGCAATGAGTTATGTGAATATAAGCAAGGATATCTGAATAATACACCTTGAGTTACCCTCATAATAAACCCTGGTAACAATTTAAACAGTTTTTCTATGTGAGAATCTAATGTAAAATTAAGGAAATATTCTCTAGCCTTTACTGGGTGGTCACGGTTTGCTACTAGCATCATCTTCAAGAAACAACAACATCAGTTTTGGCCCCTGAAAATCAGACAATGTTAAATTTCTAGACAGGCAAACTTTTATACAATGATTAACTGAATCCAGTAGTTCCTGCTACATTCTCCAAACCAAGAATCGTTGTTCCAAAACGCCACACATTATCCCCCCTAAAATCTGTATCCGGTTATCTTGAAGGGAATTGTTGGTAGTTTTCAATAATAAGATTTCTCCTTCTGAGAATATGCCCCTTCAGTACCTGGACTCTTCTGAGGTTTGGGTTCCATGATGGAGGTCTGTCCTCGCCTGTCACAAAGAAGGGGTAAGTGTTATTCCCTAAACAACAGTATGTATGCTTCATTAATTAGCCACTGAATCACTGAGTATCAGGATGGTGCTGACAAATGTCAGTGAGATGGGTTATGAGTCTCCCTTTCCATTCTTTCTTTAGTATTTTCCTCCCTGCCCCTGAGGCTGACAGTAGCCATGGTAATGAGGACAAATCCAAGCAGCCTGCACTCACAGAGTGGGTGGTTCTGCAGAGGTGTTGAAAAGATGACTGAGCTGTCTTCCTTGGACTTTCTGTGTCCCTGTTTCATAAGTGGCTCTGACAAGAGAAATGGATGGCAACACCAAGAAGGAGAGATAAGAACAGGGCAGAGGGCAGGATGCCATTGGAATAAATATAGCTAAGAAAGCTTTGCTGACTGAGAGGAAACCCAAGACAAACTCTTCTCCATGCCAGGGGTCAGTTTTCTCCAGAATAAAACTTAAGAGTAAGTCACCAAGCCACCCTTGTTCAACTGCCTCAGCCACTTGAGGGGCCACTCCTCAAGGCTACCCAACTCTGGTGGCTCAGGCTGACACAGTGAAACTGAATCTGAGAGACCATGTCCTTTCCTGGGACAGCTGCCAGAGATTCCATGACCAACACAGGATGGAGGGAAGGGGACTCCCCCAGGAAAATGGCTAAGGGCAGGACAGGTCTTTGAAATTAGAAATGAGTTGGTGGCTAACTTTAACTTTAAATTAGTAAGACTCTCAAAATAGAAGGTCATGAAAAGGGAGGTGTCAGGGCAGCCCCACGTAAAATGGGAAGGAAGCAGAGGTCTTTGACCACAAAGCTGGCATGGTGTGATTCCTCCATTACAGGTCTCCCCCTTTCTTCAGCATAAGTTCATTCATTCCTCAAGGTACAGATGACTCACAGCAATTCTTTAATCATATATAATTATATCAAGTTATAATTATATATGATTAAGGGGGGCCCCCAAAACCAGAATTTACCTATAAAAAATTGTGTATTTAGCCGGGCTCGGTGGCTCAGCCTGTAATCCCGTGCCTTTGGGAGGCTGAGGTGAGCGGGTTGCCTGAGCCCGCGGGTTCGAGACCCGCCTGGGCAGCGAGACCTCATCTTTACAATAAATCAAAAAATCAGCCAGGCATGGTAGCGCATGCCTGTAATTCCGGCTACTCGGAAGGCTGAGGTGGAAGGATCGCCGGAGCCCAGCAGGTCGAGGCTGCGGCGGCCGGGAGCGGCCACTGCACTCCGGTCTGGGCGACAGAGTGAGTGAGACTCCGACTCAAAAAAAAAAAAAAAATTGTGTATTTATTCTCACATGCTTAGACTTCAGTCACCTTCAAAGTATTCTCCAGTTGATTCAATGCACCTATCGAGATGCTTTTTCCACTGCTCAAAATAGTTTTTGAACTGGTCGATTTTGATGCCTTTTAGTGCTTCTGCCATTTTTTTGTTGTACCTTTTTCACATTGGCAAAACATTTCCCTTTCCCTTCGAGAACTTTTTTCATCCGGGGAAACCAACCAACCAAAAGAGTCGCTTGAGTCTAGATCAGGTGAATAGGGAGGGTGGGCATGAGAGTCATGGCATTTTTAGTTAAAAACTGCTGAATGGTCAGCTTGGTGAGAGCAGGTGCATTGTTATGGTGGAAGAACCTGTTTGCCACAACTCGGGACATTTCTTCCACAAATCATGGTGTAGCCATCTCAAAGCGTCCAGATAAAAACTTTGGTTGACTGTTTGATCTGGAGGAACAAATTCTGAGTATACTACAAGGGACCTGCCCTTCAAAAGATAATTTTGATTTTTTTTTGAGGGGGGAGTCTCCCTCATATGTATGTCTTTTTTTTTTTTTTTTTTTTAACAGAGATGAGAGTCTTAAGATTAAGACAAGATCTCAAAACATACTTTTGGTGGCTTGTCAGAGCATTTGGGAACCCTTTGAAGACCGGCAAGGGGGCATTCGTGGACCCTGAAATTACACCTACCGAAGGCAAGGTTTTCTCTCTTGAGATATATTGTATAATAACAGTAGTGATTATCTGAAGAGGCTACATGTTTTCTGGGGACATCTTAAGGTGTATGTTGAAGAACTGGTGCCCTTAGCCCTCGCCTGGTGTACTTGGCACACTCTGTGCAATGAGCCATAATGTCTGGGAAACATGCCAAGCTATTGAGGCCAAAGGCCTTTGCTTGTTGGAAGAGCAGTTCTGCACAAGGAAGAGAATGCAATCTACTTAACTCTTGCCCACTTTCCAAAAAACATGCACAATATTTTAAAAATTATCCCTGAGATTTTGTATCAGATCTATGAGGTTCTTTCCAGTTTCAAGGATTTCACTGCCTGAAGAATTGAGGACAAGTAGTTTTCAGCCCATCACCGTTTCGTGCATTCATGCCTACAGGACTTACCCACTCACCCCAAGCAGCAGCTAGCCTCATGGGTAATGAAGCTCAAAGATCAGATCAGAGGACTGTGCAGGAGAGATTAGCAGTGGGTGACATGTTTTAAAGCAGTATATTTACTGCAAGCTGTTTTGGGACTGTTCTTTGTCAAAAAGCAAAAATATCATTTTTTTCTTGATAAAATAATTCTTTTTAAAGTCTTCACAGTTTATAAAATGTATTTGCATATATTATTTCTTTTGTGTTGCAGAATGGTCCTATCCTGAGATAGTTCATTTTACTAATGAAAAACTGCATTTGGGAGAAGAGTGAGTTGACCCGCACCTAGGTCCCCTGGCAGAGCCCCACACAGCGCCTTATTGATGCTCACAGACATTCCTGATGACATTCGTACTACCTGTGCACTGTGGATGGCAAAGTGTGCTTTGAAGAACATTTTTGGCCTTCCGATGTCTGTAAAGGGCTTCAGAGTCATGTGTTGGGACCACTCCCCTTCTCCTCCCCCATCTACCATAGAATGAGATGACAGTAGAGTGTGGTGGTTTAGAGTGTCAACTTTGGGGTCTGAGTTTACATTTCATCTCCATGAATTATAAGAGGTGTGGCCTTGGGCATATTACAATATCTCTTTACACCTCTGTTTCTTCATCTGTAAAATGAAGGTGATAATATTACCATGCTCATAGGATTGCTGGGAGCATCACTTAAGATAGTCTGTTGACAAGCACTCAGTATTTAATAGAAGCTCAATAAATGCTAATTGTTGGGCTCTTTCCAACTAAGATAGTCTATGATGCTATGATTGTTTAGCAATGAGTAGCACTGAGTATTAAGTAATGAGTATTTAATACATTCAAAACACTTCTAAACAATGTGTATATAATAGATTTCACATATCTGCTATAAATATATGAAATCCTATTATACCCTCAGAGCAATACTATAAAGTTTATACAGTTTTTTACTATGATATAATACACATTTACAGGCAAGGAAACAGTTATCAGAGAGATAAAACAATTTGCTTTTGATCATATAATTCAAAAGAAGCAGAGCCAGAATTCTAACTTGAGAACTGGTCTTAACCACTTTGTTCTTCTTCCCTTCTAAGAAAGATGAGTCACATATTTTCATAAATCTGCTTACATTTCTTGTCATTGCCTCCAAACAAACAAACAAAAAATCTTTTCGATTTAGCTTTTTGGTCTCATTTAGGAGAATCTCCCCACAATCGTTGCCTAACCTGTTCATTACATCATTTGGGATCTGATGAGTATAATATACCAAGACATCCTCTATTCCTCTGAATATATATATAGCCTATCTGTATAGCCTAAGAAGCTTATGAAGAAAGAACCCATATCAGCAATATTACTCATCTGTGAAATTTTCAATTTTGTATTTGCTCAATTGCAAAAAACCCAAAGCAGTCACACCAAGCAGTACTTACTGGCCACCAGGAGGTCACACTGATCCAGTGTTGAGGAAAGTGTCCTGTCCCAGCGTCTTCTGAACTCACCCCTGCTCACTCTGAGCTTTGGTGCTGGTGTGAGGATTAAGCACAAGTTTGTCTGAAATCCGAACCAGTAGGAAGTTCCCAAACTACTACCCTCAGGCAGATTTTACTCTTGCCTCAAACTGAAAAGGAAGCTGGTGCCTCAGGGGAAGTGCTGGGCTTTCATTCTTCTTGTGGCTTGGCACAGAACTGCCCTTGGTGTTCCAACTGTCCAGCACCAGAAAATGAAAGCAAACAAATTAAAAAAAAATTCCTGACAGACTTTGGACCTCGTCACAATAACGCTTATTGAGGAAAATGCCAATTTACCCTTGACCTTCCTTCTGCAGTGACTACCATTGAAAAAAATCCCTTTGCACCCATTCATATCTTCTTATCCCAGGGAGGGTAGGAAGGATTCCTTTGTATCATACGGGGGAAAAAAAAGTCTGGCTTCTTCAACGCACTTGTACATACCAGTGGTTTCCAGGAAGAGTTACTCATTCATCCATAACAGAGGTGTTGCCACCAACAGGGTGGTGCTAGGCAGGCTCTCCTGAACAGCCGCCCAACAGCTCTTAAGAATAAGCAGGCTGAGTGAATGGTCATCCTTAGACTGGCTGAGTAGTATCTGGCCACCAAAGTGTCTTGGGTATATTTTAATTTGTATTACAAATTTTAGGGGAAAAGAAGAAATACTAAACTTATCCTGGTATATTACCTTTCGAAGTAAAAGTATTTAACTTTAATTTTTATTATCCTCATTAAGTTACCTGGGCTCGAATCAGCTCTGTCATGTATTCATTGTGTGGTCTTGGCAATTTACTTAAGTTCCCTGAGTCTGTTTCCTTATCTGCAAAATGAGGTGGATAATACTGGCCTCACAGTTTCTTTTTAAAAATTAATTAAGATTTCACATACAAAAAGCATCTATCTCAGTGCTTGGTCCACGGTAAGCATTCAACAAAGATTACCATGTTTTTCTCTTTTGCACTTTAAGGAAGGTACAGGTATTGGGTTCTTTTTTTTAGCAAACTTAGCTGGACTTCAGGCATGCAGAAATTATTAATTTATTGTGTGCTTCCTGCACAGGACTGGTTTTGCTTGATTTAGGAGAAACAATTTCTTATAAGGTATTTTCTTGATGTTTCTTTAGACTAGTTTTTGACTATTCTGAAAATAGTCTTTGATATCTTTACATTTGGTCTTTAGTCAAATATTATGTTTTAGCTCTAAGTAGTTCATAAAAAGCTTGTGTTGATTTCCACTTAATTGGGAACTATAAAGCTACAGACAGCCCATTGTTATAATACAAAGACCTAATCAAAATGGGGAGAAGAGGAAAGTATTAATACTATAAGACTCGTGTTCCTTTGAAGAGGATCCCTATAAAACAGTTAGACGGACAGGTGGACTTTCCAACATCAACCTGTTCATTTTATCCATCCATCTATCCATCCACCCATTCAACCCACACTGACAGGGTTTTCTGTCTTATTTTCCCAATAGTATTTCAAAACTCTTCAGGGGAAGAAGGCTAATATATCCTAGAGGTACCTAGAAAAGCTCTTTGTACTATAGGCGTAACCTGTACAATAAAAACTGAAAAACAAACAAAAATTGGCATAGACACCAAATACCAAACTTGCAAAACATAAATATACCTATGAAATTAAAGCATAGTTATCTTTGTTAACTGCCTCTAATGACCTATAAACAAAGTATCAATGAATTATCTGTTGCAATAAATAATCACATACATATTCATCTGAAAGATCAGATGAGTTATTCCAGGACTTTGCTAAATGTGCTTCTCTGCTCTTTAGTTTTGCTGTCTTTTAACCAAGACACAACTGAACAGCTCACATTACATGGCAGGGCTTAATATTTATCGGGAATTTCTATTTTACATAGAATGTCTCATTTAATTCCAACAATTTTGCAAGATAAGTAGTAGTATTCTTAATTTTTAAAGTAGGAAATTGAAGATTGGAGATATTAAATAGCTTGCTAAAGATCATGCAGTTAGCATGTGACTGACTGAAATAAAACTCTGATCAGTGTTGACTCTAAAGCCTGTGTGTGCTCTCGTGCTCAGCACTATGTGAGTCCTGGGATGGGATCAGTTGGCCTGGGGTCTTGGTCTCCTTGGCTACTGACTGACTGTGTGACATTGCATAGGTTGTCAGATCTCTGGCCCTTACAATTTCATTTCTGTCCCTTCCTCAAAGAACTCTAAGTATCCATTCAGCTCTGATGATGATGAAGTTCTTGAATCAAAGCCAATGATATATCAATGTGCAAGCTGTCTCGCTACAAGCTTTCTGCTCATTGTCCATGTGGATAGTGAACATGTCCTTGTCAATGACACCAGTAAAGAAGTGACATCAATCACATAACTTTAAATCATCCTGACTATACCTCTTCTCTGGAACAAAGAATTCAAGGGAAGCAAGGAGAAAGCTCTACACAGAAAAATATATATACATAATAACGCAAGTAGCTTTTAGATTGTGATAAAATGATACCAGACCAAAATCTATTTTCTATCATGTGTTTGGTGGTGGTCTGAATCGACTTATGTTTGTCAGGAGAAGGGAATTGATAATATAAAGCATTTTGCATAATTTTATATGATTCTCTTCTATGACCGAATTTGGAAATTCAGTCTCTATAGATTGCTTTTGGCTGTAAGTAAAAAAATAAAATAAAAAGGCACTCAACAATAGGGGCTTATAATTTGTTTATCATACATCGTGCAAGATATCTGGAGTGAAGCAGTTCCAGCCTTAGTTTGATGACTCAGTGATGTTAGAACACGAACACTGAAGTTATGTCTCTGATTTTCTTGGCCTTTTCCATATGGTCATAAGTTGGCTGCCATTAGCATCATGTTTTCACAGCACAACATCTCAGCAGCAGAGAAGGGTTGGGGAAATGAGCATTCTTTTTATGTAGCTTCTACTTCAGGGAGAAAAATTTTCCTACAGGGTCTGAAGATTTTCCTTCACATTTGATTGGATTGATCATATGTCACTTCAAGACCAGCCATTGGCCAAGAGGAAGTGAGATTTTGTTGACTTGGACCAATCACGATTATTTTCCTTGCCATCTGAACAAAATTGGGGTTCTGCTACCCACGGAGATGGAGAATCACTATTGCAGACATCATCATCTGGCTCCTTCCTCCTTCTCCAAGATCGTGTTCAAGAACTTTCCCTGTGGGTCTTGGCAATCTAGGCACCTTGACGTTTCCACAACTTTCCCTGTGGGTCTTGGCAATCTAGGCACCTTGACGTTTCCACAAGGTATTTCCTCTCTCTGGCCTACTCTTCTTCCCTCGCTCCACCTGGATAACCACTACTTGTCCTTCAGCTCTCACACCAGTGTTACTTCTCAGTGATTCCTTCCTTTCCCCAGACAATGCCAGATCCTCTTATGACACATTATCACTGTGTGGTGTTAACTTCAGAACACATTTTGCCATTTGTAATTTTGTGTTCATTTGTCTGATTATTTGAGTAATGTCTGTCTCTTCCTCCATAGGACTGTATGATCCATTAGAATTAGTCTTATGACAGATACATGAAAAAGTGCTCAGCCTCATTAGTCATCAAAGACATATAAATTAAAACCACACTGAGATACCATGTAACTCCAGTCAGGATGGCCATTATTAATAACTCAAAAAAACAACAGATGCTGGAGAAGATGCGGGGAAAAGGAAACACTTCTACACTGTTGGTGGGAGTGCAAACTAATTCAACCTCTGTGGAAAACAGTTTGGCGATTCCTAAAAGATCTAAAAATTGGCTTTCCATATGACCCCACAATCTCCCTACTGGGAATATTCCTAGAGGAACTCAAATCACTCTATGAAAAAGATACCTGCACACGTATGTTTATGGCAGCATTGTTCACAATAACAACAACATGGAACCAATTGTGCTGCCCATTGAAAAGGACTGGATAAAAAAAAAATGTGGTACATATACATGATGGAATATTACACAGCCATAAAAAAGACAAAATTATGAACTTCACAGCAATTTGAATGGACTTAGAATCTATAATACTGAGTGATCTGTCACAGAAACAAAGAACTGAGTATCACATGTTCTCACTCATAAGCAGACCTTGAGCAAATATTGCAATACTATAAGAAAAGGATTGGCAGTAGTGGGAAACTTCCAGGGGGTGGGAGCAGGACTGGCAGTAGTGGGAGTCTGCCGGGGTTGGGGGCATACTTCATCAACAAGGATACCTGTATAATGAACATTGGTATGCCTAACCCTGAATTGTTCCCCACATCTTGAAAATAAATAAAATAAAATAAAAAGAATTAGTACCATATCTGTTTCTGCTCATCAATGTATCCCCAGTAGCTTAAATGCCTACCCACTCTTTTATTTATTTTTTATTATCAATATTTTTTATTATGGTTTTGTGGGGTACAGTTAAGGGTTAGGTGTACAATTACATTTCATTCAGGCACCCTGTTGATAAGAGGTGTTTCCCCATCCCCAGACAGATATTTGCTACTGTTAATCCCATCCCCCTCTCCCCCGATAGTTTCCCAGTACCGTCAGTCATTTTCTTATAGTATTACATTGGATGTTCAAGGTCCATTATATGAATGAGAACATGTGATACTCGGATCTTTGTTTCTGTGAGAGGTCACTCAGTATTATAGACTCTAGTTCCATCCAGGTTGCTGCAAAATTCATGATTTTGTTCTTTTTTATGGCTGCACCTACCCACTCTTTAACATGTGCCTACTATATGCCAAGTGTTATATTATGGATAAAGAGATAAATGAAAAGATGAGTGTATTTTGAGAGTTCATGATTTGGCCAGGGAGACGCAGAGTGAACTACCTTAATAGTTCAATGGTAGTCATTTCTACGTCACTTTCATACCCTACTCCTATGGCCACACTCTGGACCTGGTAATGTTACCCATTTGATAACTTTGATGCACCTTTGATAACTTTGATTATGGTATCTTATTTTCTGACTACAACCTCCCTTCCTTCTATTCTTTCTATTTCTTCACTTTAACCTCTCCAAAGCCTCAAGATTCTAGATCTTTCCTCATTCTTTCAGCATGTCAGTGTCCTTTCCTAGCTGAAACTGCCACTCTCGTAACACCCTACAAACAAAAATCTAGGCTGGATTTTGCACAAGAATAA